TATTGATAAAGTACTGGCTTTTCACTCATGAGGGTTTAATTGCACTTAAGGTCAGGAGCATAGCTGCCATCAACTCCAGTAATTTTCCAGTTATCTTCTCTTCATTCCCACCACGGCCTCTCTGCTGTTTACTGACTTTACTGCATGTCGTGTGTGTATGTTTGTGTGTGTGTGGAGGAGGTCAGCCTCAGCACACATTTAGCCCTGCGGCTCTTTTAATACTGGGTGCCGGTATCCATCCCTACAAGAAGGGGCACTAACTGTAAGATATCATATGAACTGTGTTCTTATCTTATCTTATGCCATACAAACTGTTGTATGAGGATTATTGTACAGAAACTATGAAAACTCCTGTAGGTGAAACTGAGCTTCATATTTCTTTTTTGGGCTGACTATCTAATAGACACACAAAAAACAGACATAAAGAAACTCACTAGCCTAGCAATATTACAGCAACACTCTCAAGTAACTGATTCACGCTGGAGGAGCCAGAACATCTGCTGTTGTGCTTATGCTGCGGTCTAATCCTCAAATATACTTAATGGTATCCAGAAAATCATACTGTGTCTCCTTATATTCCAGCCAGTACATTATTAATGGGTTTTAAAGTCTTGAGTATGAGTTGATTCTCCCGTCTCCTCTTGACTTGGTGTCAGTCCTCTTTGGACTTGGACTCAAACTTAACTGGGTCGGGTCGTAGCACTGATTTGAATTTGGCAAAGGTGGTGTAGTCTACAGCCCCAGTTACGTTAGCAGGTGGCACAGCTGGTTTACCCCATGGACTTCAACCCTGCACTTCTAACTTTCTACCAAATCATGTGGCCTGGCCTAGATACACATGAAATGTAACAGCCCAGGGCTCCTATTTTGTACCATTCTCTTCCCTAACCATATTTCAGGCTTATTCTCACAAGGGCAAGATATGTCCCTCCCAGGCACAGAGCAGCAAAGTGGTGTAGACGGAGGGTACCCAGCAGAGTCGGCTGTCAGGTGCGACAAATTAATGGCAAATCTAACCCGGCGCTGCTGCCAGGCAGGCAGGGGTGGCAGCTGTTCGACGAGAGACTTGCTCTCGCTGCTGCACACATTAATGTGGCATGGAAACTTGTTTCAGGCATCACTGAGACGATGTTTACGAGCTCTGATTTCTCCTGAAAGGTGAAGCATGGACGGAGGGGGGAGCAGAGACCAGCTGTCGGTGAAGCCCGATGGATTTGAGTCAGCAAAGAGGCTCTGCTGTTAATGATTGCTCCCAAGGATGGCTTTCACACCACAGAGGGTGAGAATCCATGCTTGCAACATGTGGCCTAAAGTCAAAAATATCTTTCCTGAGAGCTGTTTTTTTTAAAAAAATGACATTCTGTTATGTGTTTCTAAGTGAAAGAGAGCTCAAGTACATATGTTCAGGCTTTTAGACTTTGATTTAAAATATGTTTTTTTGGGTTATAACGGTCTAAAATGCCTCACAATGTCAGGGTTTTCCCCCTACCTCTGCCAGTCTTATCCCTGCGCTCACTGACTTTCATTCATCCGACCACAGTTTACAGAGACAAACCACTGAAACAGTGAGTGTTGTCGTCATAAGTTCACTGAGTTTGAAATCGTACCCGGGCGCCCGCCCCCTTCCTCTGTCTCTGCGCCACTGCCACTGAAATGTGTTTGTCTGATTGCTCCTGAAAGCCTGCACTGACCTGAAAACAACTTCCAAAATTATAAATAACCCCCACGCCCTCTTCCCTCCCCACCTTTAATCCAGTGGATGCACGATGGGAAAGTGGCCCCCTCGTTCACACATCCAATCAAAGTCTTTAGAAAGATCAAAGGTGTCTCTGGACACTAATGCAAATCTCTAAAGATTAACACCGGATGAAACCACTGTGGAATTTTCAGCAACTCCGAGTTAAACCCTGAAACCCACTGGCAAGAAAAAGAGAAGTCAATAGCAGCGACTGAGCCTGACTTGAAACGATGGGCCCGACCAGTACTAAACTAAATAGCCATATCCCCTTTACTTAATGCTGTTTCATGTTTCAAAGGCATTTAGGTGCACTTTCATTCTGCATTGTCATTCATGTCATGTCTGCACCTCCTGAAACACTTCCTCATTATCAGCAGTCCGACAATATTCACTTTTATAAACTACTGTATTATGTATAACTGCGCTTTTGTCTTGTTCTTTTGTAAGACATCAGTCGTCACAAAAATCACTTTAATGTTGCTCTTGTCAATCCAATAGTTTGGAATGAATAATAAAGAGGCAGGACCACTGAACATAATGAGGTGCACCAAGTCAACATTGATTTTTCAGATGGCAATAAATGACAGAAAAACCCATTTTAATTTCTCTAAGGTTGCTGCTAGAGAAAACATCAGATACATTGTGTAACACTCACATAATGTTAATGAAACAACCAACAAACAGTGACCATCATGATCTGAAGTCACATGTTACTGAGACTTTGACAGAGAGATAATCTACTGTAACAGGCCTGTTGTGTTCTGCTTACAGATTTTACAAACTTAAAGTCATAGTTCAACATTTTCCCTTTTTCTTACTGAGATTTAGATCATGTCTGTACTGTAAATATGAATATATCATAGCACAGTTAGCTGTGTGAAAACAACATATTTGGGGGGTTATGTGCATTCTGTAAAGGGGCAGTTGTCTTCAGTACACTGGGTTTTGTACAGACGAAACAAATTAAATATTTTCACATAAATTAGTTTTCTCTTCAGGTGCTGGTTGGCAGATTTTATAATTGACAGAGCCTAAGCTAACCGTTCGCCTTATAGTTACCAGGCAGACAGGTATCAGTCTTTTAAAGGAGCTCTATGCAAAAAAATCAGAGCCTATGAATTGTCTGTACACAGATCTCAACATGAAGGTGGCTAGCAGCTAACAATGCTAACTCCTTAAACAGTGCTAAACACCAGCAACAGTGCTAACAGAGCTAACAGTGTTAAACAGAGGGTGGGCACTACGTTTCTGTGATGACACCGTCCCAATATCAGCTATGAGCTAGCCAACAGGATACACACATGCACTAACATGCACGTGCAACCAGATCTGCTTACCACAACAAACCACAGAGGAGCTCAGATTACAACACACACAGAGGTAGTGTGACGTCATTCTCGTCTCAGGACGCCATTACTCCACTATACATGGGCTGATTATGAGAAAATAGTCCCCTGTGCACAGATATGCAGAAGGCCCCACCACCTCTCGGTCATAAGAGCAAAACACACAGACTTTATAGGTGTTTAATCTCTGTGGTATTGTGACTCCTTGTGATCATTTTATGTCCCTTTTATGTAGTTGTTTTGTGTCTCATTGTAGTCATTTTATGTTTCCTTGTTGTCATTTTGAGTCTCTTCCTGGTCGGTATGTGTCACCTTGAGTGATATTTTGAAGATGAAGGCCAGGGGGGCCCCCTGACACTTTGAGCCCCTGGGCCTGCACATAGTCGGCCCATTCAGTAATCCATCAATGCCACTATATCTTTACAAATCAAATAGTAGTTTGCTGCTGTATTAATGCTCTGAATGTTGCATGCAGAACCTTTGAGAGAGTAGATAACATAACATACAGGGCATTAAAATCAGAGCAAACAACTTTTGCTAAAAATACGTCCTGAGCAGAGAATGAAATCAAGCTACTTCTGTGTGTGTTCTTATTCAAGCTTCTCTGTGGTTTGTTGTGGTCAGTCGCTCCGGCTGCACTTGCATATTTGTGCAGGTGAGTCCCTGATCCCTGTGTGTATGTGTGCCCCGCTGGCTATTTGACACCACCTTGCACTGCTCTCATGTAGAGGTTGTGGGTAGTAACAACTGATAATGGCGATGGCGTCATCATGGAACACTAACCCTCTGGTTTCCCCCTCAAGTTTACACCGTTAGCTCTGTCAGCACTGTTGCCGTTGTTAGCACCGTTAGCTGCTAGCCACCAGCTCAGCCAACTCCATGTTGAGAGCTGTGAGCACAGTCACAGCTCAGACTCTGAATCATAGACGTGCTCTGAATGTCATAAAGAGCTCCTTTAAAGCCTCAAATAGGTGTTTTGCATTCAGATCACATCGTCTCACAGTTCTAGAAGTTTTGAACAAAAAAAAAAAAAAACAAATTGAAATCACTGGGTAATAAAACACCAGTGTGCAGAGTGTTTCTAAGAACAACTTTTTCTTTTATAGAGTGCACCAGTTCTTTTTTGTCCTCTACAGGTGCCTTAATCCATTGAAACCACAGCAGGATGTGACCTCACTATATTTGGAAACATAACATCCTCTGCAGATGGATTTAAGGATTGCACGGAAGACTTGAAACAAATTATAGCTCTGGTGTAAAAACTCTATCGCTGATTGATTTCTGTTCAGCATCCTTTAAAACAGCACTGAGCCATGCAGGATTCTCCATCTAAACTCTACAGAGGTTTAAATGTGCCTGTTTGTGCACACGTGAAGCTCAGTAAAGGCGCGCAGCAGCGATTCCCCCCGCAGTGTCCTGATCGGAGCAATTTCCAAAGGGCCCCGGTGAGAGAGTTGTGCACTCAGTCATCCGTTAAGTGAACACCCAATCGCTGGTCTGAACTGGTGCACTAGCTAAGTTACAAGTTGTGACAAGCTCAGATGGCTCCCTGACTCTCAGGCCACGGTATTTATTAAAGTCTATTCAGCTCTGTGTCTTGCAAAAATAAACAGAGTGCCAGGCTGCTGGAGAAAGTGCTGACAGTGAGCATACTTTATCCAGGTTGGAAAAGAATGGGGCTGAGCCTTATAGCCCCTAGGATACCGAGCCTGTGGGGGGAAGAGCGAAGCACTACTAACTCTGCAGACGGAGCTCTGGTGGTGCAACTACGTGAGCAGACCTTCTGCTTTCCAGTTGACTTCAGGTGCAGTCATTTGCAGAATGAAATGGTTGCATTGCTGGAGAGAGAAAGAGCGAGAGGGAATGCGGAGGGGGGCGCAGAGGAAGGAGGAGTGAAAGGGAGAAAGATTACGAGATAGAAAAAGAGAGAGGGAGAGTGGAGGAGCACAGCACTCTCCTGCCAAAGAGGGTAATGAGGAGAGGAGCTGCAGAGAGAGGAGAGTTACTGAGCGGTTCATTGACATGCTAAATGTCAAAGGTGAAGTAAAAATCTCTTGTTAAGCCTGTGGCTCGCCTTTTTAAGCGCAGTGGTGTAATGATGTGAGCTCTTGCATCAAACCTGACTGCTTCTGCTTGTGCTCTGCCGCGACTCGAGTAAATCCAAGAGGGAATATTGAGTATCAGGAGGGGAGCTGAATGCCTTTAAAAACAAACAGCTAGTCCCTTCAGCTTTAAAGTTCAAGTTGAAAGAGCTCTCAGACCGCAACAGAACAGAAAGGATTAAACAATGCAAAGTTGTGTTCTTGACAGTAACCCCAAACAGACAGGACAAAGTCTCACACAGTCATAGTTACTTTTATGTTACAAGCATAAGGACGCTTTTGTGTGACTATGTTTATATGCACGCTAATATTCCACTATTTTTCCTGAATATTACAATATTAGGAATGTGTTACACTTCATGTCAGCTTCATTCTCCATTAGGCCTCAATCCAAATATAGCATTTTCCAAATAAGACTTGGAGGATATGCCGATATTATCCGGATTTCTGTAGCATTCTTTGGACATGTAAACATCACATTCAGTATATGCATCTAAGTTTAAGTTCTACCGCAATTTGTGAGACACAACCTCTTGCCTGTTTAAAGTCAGCTCCGTACATTGTCATGGATAATGTGATCACAAACCAACTTGCCAACAGTCTGCAGGCACACCTACATTTAAATATTAAGGAAGACTAAGGAAGACCTGGATATCAACAGGTCTTTGGATATGCAAAATATTGCAATACTGACCATTTCAAGAAGGTGCAGAGCAGAACAAGTTCACCACAGATGGAAAACGTTGAAAAAACATCTTATTTTGACACCAAGAAGCAAAATGGCACAAGCAGCTCCACCTGTTCCACTTTTCCTTATTTTGATGTGATAAATGACATGTTAGGGCATGTTAATCGGAGAATGTATGGCTGCATGAAGAGGGGAATATGGGTGAAATACAGTACAGGCCAAAAGTTTGGACACACCTTCTCATTCAATGCGTTTTCTTTATTTTCATGACTATTTACATTGTAGATTCTCACTGAAGGCATCAAAACTAAGAATGAACACATGTGGAGTTATGTACTTAACAAAAAAAGGTGAAATAACTGAAAACATGTTTTATATTCTAGTTTCTTCAAAATAGCCACCCTTTGCTCTGATTACTGCTTTGCACACTCTTGGCATTCTCTCAATGAGCTTCAAGAGGTAGTCACCTGAAATGGTTTTCCAACAGTCTTGAAGGAGTTCCCAGAGGTGTTTAGCACTTGTTGGCCCCTTTGCCTTCACTCTGCGGTCCAGCTCACCCCAAACCATCTCGATTGGGTTCAGGTCCGGTGACTGTGGAGGCCAGGTCATCTGCCGCAGCACTCCATCACTCTCCTTCTTGGTCAAATAGCCCTTACACAGCCTGGAGGTGTGTTTGGGGTCATTGTCCTGTTGAAAAATAAATGATCGTCCAACTAAACGCAAACCGGATGGGATGGCATGTCGCTGCAGGATGCTGCGGTAGCCATGCTGGTTCAGTGTGCCTTCAATTTTGAATAAATCCCCAACAGTGTCACCAGCAAAACACCCCCACACCATCACACCTCCTCCTCCATGCTTCACAGTGGGAACCAGGCATGTGGAATCCATCCGTTCACCTTTTCTGCATCTCACAAAGACACGGCGGTTGGAACCAAAGATCTCAAATTTAGACTCATCAGACCAAAGCACAGATTTCCACTGGTCTAATGTCCATTCCTTGTGTTTCTTGGCCCAAACAAATCTCTTCTGCTTGTTGCCTCTCCTTAGCAGTGGTTTCCTAGCAGCTATTTGACCATGAAGGCCTGATTAGCGCAGTCTCCTCTTAACAGTTGTTCTAGAGATGGGTCTGCTGCTAGAACTCTGTGTGGCATTCATCTGGTCTCTGATCTGAGCTGCTGTTAACTTGCGATTTCTGAGGCTGGTGACTTGGATGAACTTATCCTCAGAAGCAGAGGTGATTCTTGGTCTTCCTTTCCTGGGTCGGTCCTCATGTGTGCCAGTTTCGTTGTAGCGCTTGATGGTTTTTGCGACTCCACTTGGGGACACATTTAAAGTTTTTGCAATTTTCCGGACTGACTGACCTTCATTTCTTAAAGTAATGATGGCCACTTGTTTTTCTTTAGTTAGCTGATTGGTTCTTGCCATAATATGAATTTTAACAGTTGTCCAATAGGGCTGTCGGCTGTGTATTAACCTGACTTCTGCACAACACAACTGATGGTCCCAACCCCATTGATAAAGCAAGAAATTCCACTAATTAACCCTGATAAGGCACACCTGTGAAGTGGAAACCATTTCAGGTGACTACCTCTTGAAGCTCATGGAGAGAATGCCAAGAGTGTGCAAAGCAGTAATCAGAGCAAAGGGTGGCTATTTTGAAGAAACTAGAATATAAAACATGTTTTCAGTTATTTCACCTTTTTTTGTTAAGTACATAACTCCACATGTGTTCATTCATAGTTTTGATGCCTTCAGTGAGAATCTACAATGTAAATAGTCATGAAAATAAAGAAAACGCATTGAATGAGAAGGTGTGTCCAAACTTTTGGCCTGTACTGTATATATTTTTATTAGACATGTAAACAGCTCAGTAGGGACATTGTCTTTTTTGGAATAAGGCCAAAATTTAGTCAGTGTCTTTCAGCTCATTGTTTTGGTTTAGTTTGGGCTCAGTCTCATGGCTCTCATCAACTTTGTTGCTAGCCACAGCAGTTGTTATTAGCTAAAAAGGTCTGAAAACCCACTGTGTGCTACCTGCCCAGCACCAAACAGCAGATGCACACAGCCTGCAGCTAGCTACCGAACATAGTGAAGCACAGGGCCAACACAGGTCTTAAAATAGAGTGAATATTGGATTTACATTTGTCAGGTCATCAGAAACATGACGTGTCTGCTAGATATGTAAATAAGCAACTGTTTGCTAATATCCATACAACAGTATTAACTCTATAAGGGGGGGAATATGCCAGTGTTGTCTTTACAACTTGTTCTGCTGGCCTATAGTGGCAAATAAATAAATTAATGCAAGTTTAAGGTTAGTGAAAGATCCCGGTTTTGGTTAAGGGGATACTTTGCCAATTTGGAACCAGCTTAGTATCACAACAGTGTGTGTTGTATATGGTGAAATTCCCTCAGTCTTACCAGAACCCAGATCCCTCCGATCATCTCCCAGCTCAAATCCCAGTTGCACATCATCCAGTAGATTTTCGCTGGCTCTAGAGCTGTTGCTCAAACTTCAGATTCTCCTACATTTTTGTATGCCGGCCACCACGGACACAAAGAGTATGAAAGTGGATCAAGAGAGAAAGAGCCGCCCCTTCCTCTTTCAAACGTAGACCAAACTCAAAATGTAAAACTAGGAGTGCTGATCAAATATAAACCAAGATTCTGTCACTGCATTGCTTGTTTCTCACCTAAAACACTTTCAGAAATATATTTAGTGCACTGTTTAACTGTAATTGTTGTTTCCGATGTCAAATGGCCAGGCTTGCATTACGTCACCCTCCATTAGGAGCATTTATTGGTCCTGTGTGGTGCTGTGCATTCTGGTAGTTGTAGGTTTCCTACATCTGATGAAGAAACTATTGCAGAGATGTGTTTTGTAAAAAGACCATCTTTCAATCAGTGAAATATGTCTTTAAATGTTGAAAAAGTCAATGTACCCAGTGTCTTAATATAGCACTGGCGTTTTTTCGAAATTAAACCCAGACATGATCTTTCCCCAACCAGATGTTTTGGGTCACCTTAACAGAACCATAAAAACTTTAATCATGCTTTGGTTGCAAGGACTGAATACAAAGAAAGCAAATTCAGTATATTCACAGTGAGCACTTTTTACAAATACTCAATATGGAAATTTTATGTTAGGAGTTCCTTGTTATATTTACCAAAAATAAAAAAGATTCCAGGCATCTTTATACTTCCTACAAAACATATTTGAAAATGCAGATTGTACTGTAGTATAAGCATGGTTTTTAGGAAGATGGGTTATTTGCTGTTACACATGCCAGTTTCTTTTTCTTTACATGTGAGAAACTTGGTAAATCCATCTAACCATGCCTCCCTCCTCTGCCCATTAAAGATTTTCAGTATAGGTCAAACTACGCTCGCGGCTGCAGCTTGGAGCACAACACTTCTGCTGCATCTGCTTTGTTGTGTTCATTCTGGCATGTGGTACTTCACGCTTGGCATCCGGTGTGTTTGGGGCTGTGGTGAACACCGAACTGATGTACGCATTTCTTCACTCGCTTGACTGGCTGGGTTCCCTCGTCTGGCAGATTTACCCAACAAACATCTGCCTCGCCCTCCCCCGAAAGTGAACGACAGCCAGCAAATGTGCTGCTTTGTCTGCAAAGCACCTTAAGATTCACTGTTGCTGATTCAAATCCAAAACCGGAATCTAAATTAGGAGCTGGAATTGGAGCTTGGCCGCTGCTGCTGGTCTCATCTCGGAAATTATTAAATTGCCTTTGAGCTTAAATTAAATTGCTGTTGAGCTATTGTGCACAACACAATAATTTTACCAGAAACACTGAGTTGCGGATAAGTCGTTTGATTGGCTGCTGGGTTACAGGCCTCGAGGAATGATTTGGAATAATCAAGGAATTTGGATCTTGCTCACATTTTCGATACAGTAGGTATCAAATAAACCATTTACAAAAACTTTCTACATATCAGTCAACTAAGAAGTATCCAATTTAACTGGAATTAGATTTTCCATGAAACTGAGAAGAGGATAGAAGCTGCAGTGGAGGTCTTGTTGCACGGTGTGTGGGTGAAAGAGCCCTGAGGGAAGAGGCTTTACGCGGGGGGAAACCAGAATCATCGGAATTCAATTTCAAGATCAAGGGGTGATGACCCCACTTTTAGGGAGAGCCTCAGGAGAAGGGCTTAGAGATTGCCTGCCCACACCAGACTCCCACACACACACACACACGCATAAACACACGTGCGTGTACACATCATCCC